TTATTTTACCTTTCTCACCACCACCGAAGGAGACACTACCTCCTTCAATCCTTGATAGGGTTGCAAATAACTCTTTGTTGCCCGTCATATGATGTGAGCAACCACTATCAAAGTACCACATCTCTTTACGTTGTTGCCGTGATGTTCCCTACAAAAGATGAAGATGAAGATGTAGTAGCTTTAGGTACCCAAGTCTTGGGTCCTTGGTGGTTAGTAGTCTTGGTACCTTTGGGTACCCATATCATTCCATAAAAATCATGGTTGTCTTTAATCCTACAATGAGTAGAAATGTGTCCATGTTTCATGCAATATGTGCACACAAAATTTCTTTTGTATGTATGGGTGTGAGAACCATGAGACCTATTTCTACCATGGTGATTATAGTTAGCATAATCATGAGTGGGTCTAGTCCAACCACTCTCAATTTCTAGTCTTTCAATCTTTGATCTAAATTACTTATTATCGAAATTGAGATCTCCTAGCAATTCATCTTTTAGTGCAAGAGAGGTTGTTAATTGTTCTAGCTTAATATCACAAGAAGCATGCAACTTTTTAAAAGAAGAATATTCTTTAGACATTCTTTTAAATTCAAAGTTCAATTCTTCTAAAGCCGTAGCTATGTCACATTGCATGTAGAAATATTCACTTTCGGTCTCGGATATTACCTCATGTTCATTTGCCATGAAACAAATATTAGGGTCATGAAGAGCAAGTTTGGCTCCTTCATCACTATCCGAGTCACTTGGTTCGGATTCTTCCCATCCGGCATACATAGCCTTCTTCTTCTTGTACTTCATGTACTTTTCTTTGAGCTTGGGGCAATCCTTAGCGATGTGACCCGGTTCATTGCACTCAAAACATTTACCTACACGAGAGGAAAACTTGTTGCTAGATCGAGGATTAAATTTCTTGTTCATTTTTATGAGTCTAGAGATTCTTCTAGAGAGATGAGCTACTTCTCTAGAAAAATCAACTTCACTATCCGATAACGAAGAGGAGTTATCACTAGCACCTTTGAGAGCTATGGTCTTCAACTTTGGTGATGGCTCCTCAACTTCACGTGATGCCACTTCCTCCTTCTCCTTCCCCTTAAGCTTCTTCTCATGCACCTTGAGCTTTCCGATGAGGCTATCGAGAGCTAAAGTAGTAAGGTCATGAGCTTCCTCAATGGCCGTAGCTTTGGGCTCCCATGCCGGAGTCAAAGAGCGAAGTATCTTGTAGTTCATCTCTTGAATAGACAAGTGCTTATCAAGACCATGTAATTCATTGATGATATTAGTAAAACGGGAAAACATAGCATCAATGGATTCATTTGGAAGCATTTTAAATAGCTCATAATCATGCATAAGCCCACTAATATTAGATTCCTTAACTTGGGGGGTTCCTTAATGTGTGATACATAATTTTACCCAAATTTCGTATGCGGTTGCACACGTGGAAACTCTATTGTATTCATTAGGGGAAAGACCACAAATTAAGGCGTTCATGGCCTTAGCATTGAGATTGGCTTGGTGCCTTTCTCCACCGGTCATGTTCTCGACTTTGGACTTCTCTACATATTTCTTTTCTATAAGCTCTAGGATGTCAAGATCAATGCAACGAAGGTAAATTCTCATCCTAGCCTTCTAATAAGCAAAATTTCTCCCGGTGAAGAGTGGTGGTCTAGTTGTGGATTGTCCTTCTAACATGTGCATATTCAAAGAGGCCTCCATTAGATCTTTTCTCTAAGGCGGTTAAACCAAAAATTAATATAGAGACCAAGCTCTGATACCAATTATTGGACCCTAGAGGGGGGGTGATTAGGGTCAAGAGGCTCTAATTATGCAATAAAAATAAAACAAGCAAACCACAATATTCTAATGCGATCAAAGTAAAAGAGATAGGGTTAGGAATTGTTATCCTTTGACGCGCGATGTGTTAATGAGGTTCCGTCCGCTGACCTACGTCCCCGCTCCCCACTCTCGAGGAGAAATCCACTACACACCCGGTTTGGAAGCTGGAACTTCGTCTACACAACGATCCCCTCACGATCTCACACTACACAGTTGATCTCAACAGATCACACACCCTCACAGTTAATCTAGACAAGATCACACTCACAAAGCAATAGAAATGGTGCAAGACTCTATCTTTACAAGTCCCTATGGCAAAGAGAAAGAATACTAAAGCTGGGAAGTGAACACACACAAAAACACAGAGAAAGCACAAAGAACAGATTTTGAAAATTTTTCTCAGGAAGACAGCGTCTCTCTGCTTTTTGCAGAAATTAGGGCTTGCAAGAAGATGAAGGAGAATAGGTTTAAATAGGAGAGATTAATCATTTTAAAATCACAACCCAATCTTCCCAATTAAGAAATAATCTCCTATTCAGACTATTTGCCACAGACTGTGCCAAACACAGTTAAGTGATAGCACAGTAAACAAGGCAAACGACCGTTTAAAAAAAAGTCTCGGTTGACCGAATAGATTTTCGGTCGACCGACAGAACGTTCGGTCGACCGAACGAATGAATTCGGTCGACCGACGAAAAATCCGGTCGACCGCGATCAGGACTGAAAACAAAATCGGTCGACCGGTGCGGTCGACCGATAGAAAAATCGAGTTTTCGGTCGACCGCACCGGTCGACCGACAAACTCTCTGGAGTCCAGTGACGAATGATCTTAAGTGCGGTCGACCGGTGTGGTCGACCGCATTCTGATACACTCCAGAATAGTATTTTGACTCAAACAAAAATATTTAGAAAATATTTATTTGATCTCTGAAAATTATGAAACTTTGTAAAATGTTTTTAATACTAAAACAAACTGTTTGAAAAAGGAATTTTGTAGATAGGTCCTCATACATGAGAAAAATAGTATTTTGTGAAAAACGCTTAAAAACATAAGTATGAAAACGTGTGTGTGAGTCTCAATAGCTTCAAGTGAAATCAATAACTCTTTTCCTACATTCTAATACTAGAGAGAGAATAAAAACTAGCTAATATCCTCACATAGAATCTAGAGAGAGAATAAAAACTAGCTAATATCCTCACATAGAATACAATTCTTGAGTCTTGATATAGCTTGAGTTTTGAATGAAGCTTTTATATGAATTTGTTGTTCTTGAAATAACATTGCTTCATCACTATGCCTCCTCCTCCTTTGGATAGCGTATATTCCATCCCATCCAATCCTCCATAAATGGCACTAACAAGCTTGATAAATGAATTTACTATATTTGCACTCAATAAGCCATTAGTACCGTTAATGGTGGTTGTAAAACATCATCAAAACATAAGGGCTAACAGTTCTGATAATGTTAACAAAGTTTTAATAGAAAAATTGTACAGAAAAAGGTAATTAACCAAACTAACTTGGAAAGAAGGGAGCCGAAAGGCTGGGGGTAAGTTCTGATGATCAATTGGAGGAGGAAGAGAGAAGGGAGATATGAATGATTAGAGAGAGAGAGAGAGAGAGAGAGAGAGAGAGAGAGATGGAGAGAGAGAGAGAGAGAGAGAGAGAGAGAGAGTGTGTAGAGGTTCTATTATGGAGTAGGAGGAGCCATGAATATGGGAGAAGTCGAACGGAAGTTGATTGTGAGAGACGTGAGTGAGGGGAGAGACTGGGGGATAGAGAAGGTGATTATTTGGGTTTAAAAAAAATTAATGTGTTTAAAATTGCTGATTAGGATTTAGTATTCATACAAACCTTTTCCATTGTTCCTGTGTTTGGATGGAGGATAGAGAAGAGAAGGGGAAGAAAATTTTGAGTTTAACATTATTTGGGAGTTTTATTGGGAGGGTAGAGGAGGAAAATGATGGGAAATTTTACACTAAAATCTTCCATTCAAAATTGGAAGGGTAAAGAGGGGAAGGAAGAATTGACAAGTTCCCTTCATTTCCCTCACATTCATTCCCTTTCCTTAGTGAGCTCTCAAACACATCATAAAAGTAGTTGATAGGTGTCCATGAGCTTTAAGTCGACAAAATAAAAGAGGCAAAATTACCAGATTGATATATTTTGTAGACCCTTAGTGACATTTTGGTATATATTTCTTACTCCTGTGATATTTTGGTATATTATGTTGACTACGTCGACGAATTAGCGTATATGTTGGCTAGAGTCAAAATTCCGGCCAAATTAAGTCACATGGTCCTCACATGCAGCTCACATAGCTACCAATACAGTAGTAATTAGAATCAACTAAATTGTTAAAAGAGGTTATTTTTTTTTCTAACATTAGGGTTCAAAATTAGGGTTCAAATTAGGAATTTTTGGTTCTTCTTCCTCCTACCATTAAATTGACTAGGGCATCTGAAATTGGAGTTAGATTCTATCCTGAAGTTGTTGCTCAAGCTTAGGCTCAAGTATAACTATTAAAGAAGCAAACTAACAGCTCAATGGAGATGGAGGTTCAAATTGGGGGATTTTTTTTTCTTCTTTCAGCTACCATGCTACCTAAGCCTTCTCAATCTACATCAACCACATGTGAGGAGTCACGTGACTCAATTTGGCCACATAATATAATACCATTGTGTCACTAATGTATCGTTTGGTACGCGAGAATGGACTCAAATGAGAATGGAATGGAAGAAGGAATAGAATGGAATTAATGTGAGAATGAAATAGTCATTTTTATTTTCACGTTTGGGTGTAATTTATAAAATAAAGTGGGAATGAACGTATTTTAAGATTGTATATTTTAATGATTCCCTATCATTTCATTGGGAATGCTCATTCCCACATAAAGTGGGAATTGATGAGACATTCCAACTTCAAGAAAGAGAGTGTGTTTGATAGGAATGAATGAGAAGTGAAAATAACCATTCCATTCCACCTCATTCTCGCGTACCAAACGAGGCCCAATGGTCAAAAATATACCAACCTGGTAATTTTACCAAATAAAAAGTAATAATAATAAAAAGTCCAATTAATATTTCAACTTGTCCATGGGCCAACTCAGGCCCAATAACACCCTTATCCATCTCCCGCTCCCGTTATAACGCCCTCCTCTCAGCCTCAGCGGCCTCATCCCTTGTCTCCCCTTATCTTATCTCCCCCTCCCTCTTGCTCCGCTTCACTCTCCCGACCTCAACCAAAAAAAAAAAACAAAAAAAAAAGAAAGAAAAGAAATGGCGGCAACTCTCTCCTCAGCTATATATCTCATCTCCTCCCCTCCCTCTTCTTCCTCCCAAACCCTAAAATTTCCTTCCAGATCCCTCTCCTTCGCCTCCCACCGCCGCCCAACATCCACCGCCATCCCTCTGGCCTCCACTGCCACCGCCTCCGCCGATCCCCAAGATCGAGGACCTAGGCACCCAACTCCACCCTCACCTCTGAAGAAAGCACCTCCACCTCGTCGACTACGCTCGCAAGGACCGCCTCGGCGTCGTCCGCCGGCCCGCATTCTGCGCCCCGCCGCCGCGCCGCTCCCGCAGCTTATACCGAACGCGCAGGCGCTGTCCGCGTCGGGAGAAATAAGACGGAGTTCGATGTGGTTATTGGAGAGGTCCCGAGCAATGCTAGGATTGCCACGATTAAGGTGGTTAGGGCATTAACGAACCTGGCGCTGAAGGAGGCCAAGGATTTGATCGAGGGGCTGCCGAAGAAATTCAGGGAGGGGATTTCAAAGGAGGAGGCCGAGGACGCTAAGAAGCAGCTGGAGGGGGTTGGGGCCAAGATATCCATTGTCTGAGGAGAGGCTTTGATGGCTAGGTTTGTCAAAGGTGGAATCCTTTTACTATCTGCGTGCTTACTTTTTGTAGTTCAAATTCTGTTGCTGGTGATGAATTATTGAAACTTTACATTCTTTTTAGTGTTAGTGAAATGTTAAAATGTTAACTTGTTGTTTTCATAATTAACTATTATTATGTGTGTTTGATACTTGTACATAAAACTTCCAATTTTTTTTTTCATGTAAACCACATCAAAAATAGGGTGATTACACGAGAATCATCTTTAAAGTTCAATTTATATGGAAATCACCTGTAGTGGAAGTTCCGATCCCAAGCAACCACCTTGATCTATTTTCCGACAAAATTTTGACAAAAATGCTGCAAATGCCCTTAGAAAGTACATGTGCTAGGCATGTGACATGCCTTTTTAACCAAACCTAGTGCCTGACAAGTGAGTTTTTTAAAGGTACTTCGGGAATTGTAGCCAAAATTTCATTAGCAAACAGGTCAAGGTGGTTCCATTGCAATCAGAACTCGCTTTAAAGGTGTTTCTGTATAAAATTGAACTTTGAAGGTGGTTTTTCTTCAATCGCTCTGTGTTAAATGTGGCTTCTATGGAGGAAAAAAAAAACCTTTTTGTCATGTATAATTGACTATAAAGTTTGTCCAGATCTATCCCTTGGTCAGTAATGATTGTGTATATGGTACTTTTCCTCCTGTTCTAAGTAGAGCACTGGGAAAACTTAGTTTAATATCTTCAAGTTAGCTAGTGCATTAGCTAAGGAAATAAATGGTGCAAGATGATCACTGATGTGTTCAGTAACAGATTGACGACAAATTGCTCGTATTATTACATATATATGTAGCCTATTTTAGGTTCATAACCTGCCATATAACGTAGATAAGATTCAAGGTTATGGTTTTATGCTAATATCGTGCTTGTACTGCAACTACAGATTATTTTCCCTCTATATGTGGTGTGTTAAAGTCTATCTTTTGCAAAAAGAGTTAATATCGCAAGGTTATTGTGGTATGTTTAGAAAATGTGGAAGAAATAGGTTTCATCATTATGAATGTTTTGCACATTTGGGTGCTTAAAGAGGATATCACTGACCTTGACAGTAATACAAAATTGGCCTATCTGCTTAACGTCCATGAACAAGAGAGGAAGAAAAAAAATGGTCATTTTCTTGTAGATTAATTGTAGACATTACTAAAGGGTTGGCCATCCATAATGTAAAGGGATGTAATGTGAAGTGTTCATGTAGGAGATGAAATATGTCCCTTCAGATGTGGGCATGAACCTATCGGTCATATTTTGTTCCTGTGTTTGAAATGGTCACATAAACATGGATGCAATAAATCATGACGCAATGGCATGAAAAAAATCCATAAATCCTATAATACTAGAATAAATAGGAAGTGTTGCAAGTTACTTTTCTTTCTTACTCCCAAATCTTTTTACTGTTTACTTTGGAAACCATGATCCATTATTCATTTCACATTTCTGTTTCCACATATATCTTCAAAAGAATCAATGTTTTGAAACTTGTCCGAGAAAGATGTGTATAATCATAATCTAATACCGTATTTATATCCTTTACCTTGCACTCTATGAATGGCTACCACCAATAGGAGAACTCTAATCTTTTATTTCACATTTTCTTTCAACTGATATCTCCTGAGAGATTAATGTTTCGTAACATATCCAAGCAGGATATATATTAATCATAATATATATATCACATTTATAGGGAAGCAAAATTCCAATAAACATTTAACTAGAGCCAAAGATAGAGGAAAAAAAAGAAACATGCACTGTTAATGGTTATCAATCCCTGAAACTAATCTATGTATGACATTGACATATCAAGCAATTATCATTATCATATAATTCTCTTTCTATCAAGTGGTCTACTATGGACTGAATCTGTGTCAATAAGGTTTTATGCAAATTTGTCAAATTTTATTATCATCTTCAAGCTGACATCAATCTAATGAGGTGTTGTTGCCAAGCCTCTAACAACAAGGAAGAGACAAGAGAAGGAGTTCCTGTAGGACCTGGTTGGCCAAAATCCATTGAAGAAACCCTTTTTTTTGTGTGGAAGTTTTGTAGCTGGCATGAGAGCATAGACAACACCCTAATGTGAAATTCCACCATCCGGGTTTGTAATTGTACCTCAGCATGTTCTCCCCTTTCCAACACATGTCAGCATGTTTTTCCCTGTCCAAGAAACAAAAAGCTCTTGGTTACATTACATGCATAAACTATGCATGCTGATCAAAGAGTTAGCTTGAAGGCTTTATAACTTGTTTTTCAATTGGTTGCGGGAATAGTTGAGTAACTAGGACTAAAGGTTCACCATCTCTTTTCTATTTTCCAGCTTTACAGGCCTGAATCACTCAGCTCAGCTTTAAGTTCAGATCATGCTAGTCGTCTTATGTGATATGTCTTATGTTTTCTACTGAAAAACCTAGATGACTTCATTTGTGATTAGCTTATGTGTTGCATTTCTGTTATTGTCTATATCCTAGTGATGTAGTTATGCTCACATCTCTGAAGAATTAGCTTCCTTCCTCGGTGTTTTCCATTAAAAACATAAGCAACCCTATTTGCTCAAATCAACTTTTCATCTTGTTTGTGGCAGGGGAAAAAAAAATCCAGAATCCCAGATGGCATGCACCCTACAATATCTTCTATCACCATAAGTTTGCACGTGTAAAACCTTTTAGAGCAATATTGCAGTAAACTTTATGTGTTGCTGTGTTCTGCTATGTTTAGACTGAGTGCTAACTGATATATGCCCTTGATTATTTCATGCTATTGCATAGAAAATTATTCATCAGTTGTAGTTCCTCAAAGCTTTCTATCTTCTGCACTGTTCCAGAGTTTTACTTTAACGGCTGTTATACTTGTGGTAAATGCACGTAAGGCTGTTATTTCGGAAAGTTCATTGTTAGCAAGATTTTATTAGTTTCTCCTGTAAGTTTCCGTTTCTTTCGTTTCGCTTTATATGATTCTTATGTACAATGTTTATAACTTGTTTTTAGGTGTACGATCAGATTTGTTAGTAGCAGATAGAGACCACCAATGAACTCCCAGATGGGTGATGATGGAAGATGATCGCCGTACGGCCTCCTTTTCCCCCCTTTTTCGTTGTCAAATGTGTCTGTATTAATTCTGAAACTGAGGAATTTTTGCTCCTTTCATCACGCTTCTGGTACTAATGTATCCATATGTTCTCTTAACTTCCTTTTCAAACATCTTTTCTATATCACCATTCTGCAACGAGGGATACAAAAGTTACTGATATTAGCGTATGACAATGGTTTCTTTTATAACTGCACTTTCATATATTTGATATAGGTTCATCTGGTTGTAGCATGCTGAAGTAAGAGGAATATAATTCCCATTAGAACTAGCTGCAAGCAAGCAGGTGGTTCTGAGTGTCAGCCACTATAGGGTAATGGAAACCCCCAGTTGGCGCGCAGTAAGCCGTGAATGATATAAAATATCCCTCTTATTAGTGGTGGTTCTTATAGAATTTGGCCTTGCGAAAGGTTAGGTAGCTAGACAATGGAGGAGAGCGCTTCATTTATTAGTTTTTTTTTTTTTTGTTATCTAAAGGTGTCGGTATTTTTCGGTAGTTTTAACTATATAAAGACCTTCATGGCAACAGACGGAATTTTATCCCTTACAAAAATAGATTAAGAAGACGCCGAGTCCCGACTTGGTACGGACTTAACAAGTGACTATAGGACAGAAACGGCTTAAAAAGTGCATTTAAATACCACACATTTTGTTTACTGTGTCACTTATATATCACAATTTATAGTTTATAGCAGAAAAATACTATAAGTTGTTAAAAAAAATTGGCACGTTAGTACCCTCGATTATATAAACGTGAATTTTTTTTTATCTGGTTGTTCTCAGATTACACTAACATGTTAATTCTATACATTTCTAACCATTAACATTTGTTAAAATTTATTATTAGACATATCTCATCTCTATTTGAAAGTAGAATTAAGGTAAGTTTAAAAAATAATTTTGATTGATTTAATGGCAATTTTAATAAATATTAGTAGTTAAAAAGCTCTAAAATTAGCATGTAAGCATTATCGAGAAACATTCGGGTAAAAATTTTCATATTTGCATGATCAATGGTACTAACATGCCGAAATATTAACAACTTACGGAACTTTTCCATCATAAAATATAACATATGATACATAAATGGCGCAGCCGGGGAATCTCTGCGGTGTATAAGTGCAATTTAGCTGCTAGAAGAATGAAAACTTTCAAATTCGAGCATCATGAATTTGGAGGGTGGCATGTGGTTACGTTAAGGAGTGTGCTTGTGATTAACTAGTCTGTAATAATAGCATCTGAAATTATGATTAACTTTTCTGTAATCAAACTTTTAGCACTTTTGGTGAAAGTAGACTGAGAAATTCGGGTCCACTAGCTTCAATCCGACAGTCAAAACTATAGCAACGGTGGAATGTTCGACATTGAACTGCATGCATAAAATCAGAAAACTCCCTTTTAACTTTGGACAATTGCTATAGATAATCACCAATTTTTAAAATATCGGAAAACACCCCCTAATATTAGGGGTTGTCAGAAAACCTCCTTTAACATTAAAATTTCATCAGGAAATCCTCTAAACTCCATTAATGGCAAGTTCACATGGCTAGGCACAGAGTGGATAGCTTTGCTAGTGAAAAGTGGGATTCATGCTTTTTAAGCCAACTCTTCTATTTGGCTCGCGGTCCAACCGCGAGCCTCAGCTCGCGTGAGAGAAACAGGGGGGGTGGGTTCTATTTGGCTCGCGGTTGGTCCGCGAGCCAAAAGGCTTTTTTGTTTTTAAGCGGTTTTTGACAACCCCTAAACTTTAGGGGGATTTTTTGATATTTTTTGAATGTAACGGGAGGTTATTGTCCAAACTTGAGGAGAGGGAGGAGGGTTGATGTTGATCCTTATACATATATTAATATGACGTGGGGTTCTGAAGAGTTATAATAAAAGAGAATGAATTAATTGATCAACATCGATTCCCCGCGTTCCTGCTCTCAGAGAAAGGTCGTCTATGGCTTCGCTCTAAAAGCCAGCCCTACCAATTTCAATGTTATCTTATTTCAATGGAATGTGCCACGTAGATCTGAAAGGATAGCTTATTTTGCTTAAATTTATTCCAAATAAAAAATTATAATTGATATTTTGGTTCTATATTTGATGCTTTGATTTTAGATATAAAACGTTTTGAGAAAAAAGAATTCAAGGTGTAACAGTCTGTGACCCCAACACAAAACAAACAAATAAAAAGTAAAAAATGAAAACTTTTTTTCAACTATCTAGAAAACTTATGGTTTCAATGCGTGCAGATTGATTATCTGCACTTATTGGAGCTATTACTTAAATAGAATGGGCCCAGCGGAAGGGCCGAAGGGGGTTATGCGTATCTAGTCAAAACGACAAGGACACATCGCATTCGACCAAGAGCAAAGACTCACTCGTTACTACGATAGTATTAAAAAAAAAATCATATAGGAATTTTTTGTAAAAAAATCACAGTAAAGAGAAGAGCTTACAGCGTCGCCTATTTTTCATTTCAAAGTTGGTGATTTTCTTGACTTTTATGTTGTTTGTACCAGTCAATAAGCTACTCGTGGCGATATTTATTAATTGTTTGCATTGATGTTAGTTTGATTTTTTTTCTACTCATATATAATATATATAGTATATATATATATATATATATATATATAATATATATTATATATATATTATATGTGGAGAAATTTGGAAAATTCAAGGTTTTTTGCAGATCTGTTAGATCCCGTAGAGGGGGTGATTAGGGTCTTATGCTAATCGTAATTCCGATTTAGAATACGAATTAAATATTATAATGAGTTATCGCTAGCAAAGTAGAAATACAACAGAGTTATGTGAGCTAGGATAGGAGATATGAACAAGGGATATATCCTGAGCAATGAGATATATCTATGAGTTATAATGTCAAGATATAAAACTAAGGGTGATATGAATATAAACAAGATAAACAAGATAGGTGATAACTAATGAACTACAAGGGCAAATGACTAAAGGCGATATAGAAATAGGCATGAATGTAAAAGAACGCCAATGACAAACTCAAACCCGCCCGACATCGATATGATCACGGAGTTCGGAACGCTTCCGTCCTAAGCGTCTGCGCTCGCCATCGTCCGGGAGAATTCCACAGTGCACAACGGGTTTTCTACCTCACCCGAATAACGTTTACACCTCACAATTTCTCTCAGCGGAGTTTCGGTCCGCCGACGACTACGTCTCCGCTCCCTCAACCTCGAGAGATCTCCACTCCACTCAACGGTTTTCTAGCTAACCGAAAACTCTACAACACCTCACAATGTAACAACAATAATGATTTGTTCTCTAAATACAGGTGAAGAACTCATATTTAGCAGCAACCAAACGATTTACAATCTCTCACCACCTCAACTATACTATGTATGGAAAGTATCAATAAACTCATATGTGGGGTGTGTAAGCAGTAGAGATATAAATGAAGAACCTTTAACTGTCAATAAGAAGCTAATGCAATAATATTGGATATGAAAAAACAATGTAGAAATGCTAGGAAATAGATTTAAGGAA